TCTCAGTTTCGTCCCCTTTTCCGTTGGACTTGGTCAAGTAGTGATTACATTTGCTTGTATAATTTAGGTTGACAGATTGGATCGTTGAAATAATGTTGATGGCGGTGTTGTTTTAATTCTAGCATGACTGAATTCAATATTTGTGTTACCATCAATCGCAAGGATTATAGAATGGATTACACAACCTGTTGGTGAAGTGAATGAGTAGAACGATTGCGTCCCATCGTGCGACTGATAAACCCCTTTTTATCATTGTTTTGTATCAAATATGATAGGGGGAGATTGACTAATTTTAATGGTTTGTCCCAATTTTTCCGAAAAAATTATTCAACGAACAAATTGAAAGTGACCTACAAGTTCATGGGCTATTTGGTAATTGCATCTTCGTGTAAGAGGTTTGTAAATTATGCAGCTAATAGTGTAGTATCTTGCACCTGGAATTTTGTATTCAAATCTCCCTCCTCGATTATCGCTCTTGTAGAAAAAGTATAAAAGATTAACAACACCGTGAGATTTTGAACTCGGAAGTTATTCCAACAAAATGAAGGTGTGACGGGACGAAATGGTCGTTGAATTATCTACATAAAAAACTGGATTGGTCTTTTGAAAACTAGTGCAATTGAGCATTTTCTATTGATGAATGCTTTTAGATTGTTAGTTGCAAAATTGCAATGAAGATCAAATTCATGAATAGTTGCAACTTCGATGGCGCCTTATATGGATTGAAACAATCACCTTGGGCATGGTTTGGAAGGTTTCGGACGATCATGAGAAAATATGGGTTCAAACAGAGCAACTCCGATTATACATTGTTCATAAACATCGAATGGGTAGTTGATAGCACTGATTATTTATGTGGATGGTATGATTGTGACGAGCGACGATGTGGAAGAAATTTCAAGGTTGAAAGAATATGCGACTGAGTTCGAAATGAAAGATCTTGGGGGACTTAAAATATTTTTTGGATATAGAAGTGGCTCAATCGAAACGAGGCATATTTTTGTCTCAAAAAAAAAATGTCTTGGATTTGTTGGCAGAACCGTGTATCCTGATCAAATTCCAACAAATGCTATCAAAGGTTGGTTGGACACGCTTAATCTACCTATCACACATGAGACAAACTTGCCGTAAGTATTGTCAGCCAATTTATGCACCCTCCGAGTGAGGAACACATGAGTGTAGTTGGACGAATTCTCCGCTACCTGAAGTTGGCACCAAGTTGAGGCATCATGTTTTCTTAGAATGGACACCTTTAAGTGAATGGCTATATTGATGCTGATTGGGCTGGAGATTTAGTGATCGGCTGTCTCATTCGGGATACTTTACCATTTGTGGGAGGTAAACTAGTAACCTGGCGGAGTAAAAAACAGAAGGTAGTGGCGTTGTCAAGCGCATAAGCGGACTATAGAGGTATGGCGAAAGGGGTATGAGTTATTTTGGCTTTGGAGGTTACTTATTGAGCTTGGGTACCTACCAACGCCTGCATCAGATCTGTTTTGTAATAATAAAGCCACTATTAATATTTCTTATAATCCAATCCAACATGACGGGATTAAACACATGGAGGTGGAGATATCCTTACCAAGGCTGTTGCGAGTCAAGCCTTCTACAACTCACTCTACAAGTTGGGCATCAACGACATTTGTGTACCAACTTGAGGGGGAGTGTCAGTGAGTTGACTATTGTATGTAATAAGAGAGATTTGTTACTTGTTTGAGTCTGTGTAATTGGGGTAAATATTATGCTTCATATGGATTTTGAGTGATTGATTCTCTGCGTCATACTTGTTGGAGTTTTGAGCTCCTTTAAGTCCCACATCGGGGAACTCAAGGAAACTTGAGATCTTTATATTACTTTAGTCTCCTTTATTAGTGATTAGGTATTGGACCATTTGGAATGAGGGTTGAGACTTGGGCCACTAATTGTGTGGATTAGGCTTGAGGATTATACCATAATATTAATATAAATTAATATTAATTAATCAAGACAAGGGCCTTGGGAAAGAGTTTTAATTAATATTAATCTAATCAATTAGTTTTAATTTCGAATTAAGTTTTTAATTACAATTAATTAAAAATGCTTTGATTAAACATTCAAAGAGAGTAAACACACAAAACAATTTGCTAAAATTCTATAATTCAGTGCGGGTTGTAGAATTAGGTAGTTGTATCCTAGTCGAGCAGACGTTGTAGAACCACAAGCACAAAAGTGGGACGGAAATACTGTTCGAAGGACATAACTTTTGCGCTAGCCTCTACCTGTTGTAATCAAGTTAGTACCATTTTAATTCTTGTATTTGTTTCTGTAATTTCATTCTGTGTAGCAAATATTTTTAGTTAATAAAGTATTAGAATTTCAAGTTCTGTTATTTTTATTTATTTTTGAATTGTTCTTCAACAATTTTTGAACAGTATAGAACAATCAGGAACTAAACCTCATTCTGAAAAGCCTGAGAAATTTAAGGGCGGAGACATCAAAAGATGGCAGCAAAAAATGCTGTTTTATTTGACAACCTTGATTTTGGCTAATGTTCTGCGCGAGACTGTACCTATTGCAGATGGAGAAAATATTTTTTCTGTAGAAACTTTAACAGCTATAGATGACTGGAATCATAATGATTTTCTTTGCAGAAACTATATTCTCAATGCATTAGATGATTAGTTGTATGATGTCTATGTGGTATGCAAAACAACCAAGGAACTTTAGGAATCACTTGAAAAAAAATATAAAACCGAGGATGCTGGTTCAAAGAAATTTGTCGTGGGAAAATTTTTAGACTACAAAATGGTGGATTCCAAGTCTGTTGTCTCTCAAACTGAGGATCTCCAGAATCATCCATGACATTCATGTTGAAGGGATGGTGATCAATGAGTCTTTCCAAGTGGCGTTCGTTATAGAAAAACTGCCACTTTCTTGGAAAGAGTTCAAGAATTATCTCAAGCATAAACGTAAGGAGATGACCCTTGAGGATCTCATTGTTAGGCTGAGAATTAATGGAAGATAACATAAAGAATAAGAAGGGCCTGGTTTCGAGTATGGAAGCTAAGGCGAATATTGTCGAAGGAAGTTCATCAAAGCAAAGGCCGAAATTCCATAAAATTAACAAAAAGGAAAAGCACATTGTCCTTGGTGTGAAAGGTGAAGACTTCAAGAAAATTAAGGGAAGTTTCTAGGTTTGTGGAAAACAAGGCCATAGGGCTCAAAAATGTCACCATCGAAGGGATCAAGGTCCTGGATATCAAGGCAACAATAACCGCGCAAACCTGATTGAAAACAATGTGGATGCCCTGGCTGCAATGATTTTGGAAATCAACCTTGTATCTGACCATCTAATTGGTGGATAGATACCGGTGCAACTCGCCATGTATGTGGTGACATAAATATATTCTCTTCGTACCAGAAAATCGAGGGAAACGAGCAACTGTTTATGGGAAATGCATATGCATCTGTTGTGGCTGGAATAGGGAAATGTGTTCGAAAATTTACTTATGGAAATGAATTAACCCTCCTTGACGTGCTGCATGTCCATGATATAAGGAAGAATCTTGTTTCTGGTCCTATCCTTAGTAATAAAGGATTCAAACTAGTTTTTGAGTCCAATAAGTTTGTACTAACTAAAGGGGGAATGTTTGTAGGGAAGGGTTACCTTGCTGATGGATTATTCAAACTAAATGTACTTGCTAATGCTATGAATGAAATAAATAATGCTTCTGCTTATATTGTTGATTCGTCTAATTTTTGGCACTCTAGGTTAGGACATGTAAATTTTCGTTCTCTTTTTATAATGCATAATTTAGGTTTGCTGCCCAAAATTGATTATCTAGATAATGTTAAATGTGAAACTTGTACATAATCGAAATTTGCAAGTCAAAGCTTTAAATCAATGCATGAAAAATCCAATGATTTGTTAGATTTAATTCATAGTGGCTCGTGTGATTTTAGATCATATCCAACTCGTGGTGGAAAGAACTATTATGTAACATTTATAGATGATTTCAGTAAGTATTGTTATGTTTATTTACTTTATAGCAAAGATGAGACCTTGGATATGTTTAAGACATATAAGGCAGAAGTTGAAAATCAACTTAACAAGAAGATTAAAGTCTTAAGGTCCGATATGGGAGGAGAATATGAGTCTCATGCCTTTGCTGAATTTTGTGCCACACATGACATAATTCATCAAACAACAGCCCCCTATACGCTGCAACAAAACGGTGTTGCCGAAAGGAAAAATAGGACTTTTAAAGACATGATCAATTCTATGTTGAATTGTTCTGGGCTTCCACACAATTTGTGCGGTAAAGCTTTACTTATTGCAAATAAAATTTTGAATTGAATTCCACCTAAAATGAGAAAGGAGTTACCATATGAATTATGGAAAGGAGAACTCCAACGTTTAAATTGCTTAAAAGTGTGGGGTTGCCTTGCAAAAGTACAAGTCCCCTTGCCAAAGAGAACAAAATTAGGGCCTAAAACTATAGATTGTGTTTTTATTGGTTTTGCATCTAATAGTTCAACTTATAGATTCTTAGTTTTTCATTCCGAAGTAAGTGATATACATGTCAATACTATTATAGAATCTATAAATGCAACATTTTTTGAGGATATATTTCCATATAAAATGGGCAAGTCTAAACTCTTGAAAGAGAGATTACATGATGATGTATCTGATGTTAACGACAAACCTAGTGAACATGGTGATGGTTCATCCTCGTCTATAGTTCAAGAAGAAGAAGAACTTGAACCCAGAAGAAGTAAAAGGACGAAAATTCGAAAGGACTTTGGGCCTGATTTTGTGACCTTATTAATTGAAACCGAACCTCAATCATTCAAGGAGGCCATGTCCACTCTTGAAGCTCTATTTTGGAAGGATGCAGTTAACAGTGAAATAGATTCCATTATGCAAAATCATACATGGGAATTAGTCGATTTGCTCCCTGGCAATAAGCCAATTGGGTACAAATGGATCTTTGAGAAGAAATTAAAACCAGATAGTACAATTGACAAATATAAGGCTCGTTTGGTAGCTAAATGATACCGTCAAAAACATGGTTTGGATTTCTTTGATACATACTCACCTGTAACGAGAATTACTTCAATAAGACTATTGATTGCTACAGCTGCACTCCATAACATGGAAATACATCAAATGGATGTAAAGACTGCATTCTTAAATGGAGACTTAGATGAGGAAATATATATGTAACAACCCGAGGGTTGACCTTGGACAGGATATAAATGGAAACTCAATGTTTCTTACACCAACCGTTGCTGATGATCCAACCTTTCTTCTCTAGTGACAGGATTGACTACTGAATTATCATTCATGGAAATCTCCAGCTCTTTAATATCGCCTAGCGTCATTTTTTCAATCTCTCCATGTTCAGCACCAATACTGTCTTTCCTCTTTCCCCACAGCACACAGTAAAGTCCCACAATAGTGAGAAGTGCTCCAATCAAACTGTACAAAAAAAAGAGCTCAGATTTCTAGGAAGAACTACTCTGGTAGCACCAGTGAAGGAATTGCGATATGTGAAAGCAGCAAAATAGAAAGGGGAGAAAGTATTTGTATTCTTCGGTTTACCTGCCAAAGTGAAGTCACTCTGCGAAAGCAATTGCCGAAAATACTGCCACTACAATGGCACTAAGTGGACTAAACATAGCTGGAAAAACTGGTCCCTTGTGACTGATGCACCATGATTGCAGGTAATAGACTAATGCTGTATTCAGAACTCCCTATTGCAAAAGGGTCGGATGAAGACTCGAACTTTTTACAGATCCAATTATATCTTATGCCAACAACGGAAGACAAAAATACATTAAGGATTATGTTTTAAAGATGTATAAAACAAGTACGATGGTAAAGATTATAGAAAATATGTCTCACAACAGCAAATATATGGTCCTGTTGTTTTTCACAGTTTGTCGTTGAATAGAGCTTATTATATATGGAAGAAAACGCTTACGACGTAGACGATGGTTAAAAGCTGCAGGTTCCATTCCAGTCTCCATGAGCTTGAATTTCTAACAAAAAACAGGGCGAGGAAAGAAGATTGCAGCGATGCAAAAAAACACATTATGCTGGCTAGTGACAATGGCGAAGGGTAGACCTTACCCCTCACCTCTTACAGCTTAAAAAAAAAAACAATTTATTAAACAAGGGCAAATTAAGGTAAAACACCCTCCCCCCAACATAGAAGGATTTTGTTAGTATAGGAGAATCTGGTTAGGATTTTGTTGGGCTACATTATGGAAGTCCGTGGGGGCTTACGTTTATTTGTCCAACAAGTCACTTGATTAGAAATTATTACAATAATGAGGTCAACATCTTATCCATTAGGATATTGTATCTTGTATTGTGAATTGAAATCAATACAATTACAATTCTATAGGGTTAGCAACCTTTTTTAACAAAAAAAATTATAAATTATAAATTAAGGCTTTTTTTTTTCAAATAAAATTAAAATATACAAAAAATAGTAAAGATTAAACTAAGAAAGAGAGCATGTGTGACAAGAGGCTAGTATTTGTGTAACGGAGCCATCTTGAATCGAGTTTCTAATCACCTGGAGGATTAGCCACTCACTCCACGCAATGTAGCTAATCAGAATAAGAGCAGAACCCTTGATCCAGTTTTTCTGAACATGCTTGATCTTGCCATACTCCTCTGCGTTGTGAACATTTATCAGTGGCTTTTCGACACCTTTCAACCGGTATCCTCCTTTCCAGAATGTCAAAATAAGAGAACCGCCGATGCAGAAAATTGTACCAGCCACCTTCGCTTGGCCTTGAGTGCTTCTAATCTTCAGTTTCTTCATCCTGAATAAAGGTAAGCAAATTACAGAATAGGAAACCTTAGAAGAAATCAAGGGAAAGGCATAGAATATACCCGAGAAGAACTGCCATCAGAAACGTCAAAGTGGGGATAACATTACTTAAGGCCCTTGCAGCTGTTGCAGAAGTGTATGCTAAACCAGCACAGTACACATTCAGACAGATTTGTAGAATTATCAGAGAAATGGGCCATATGGCCAACTTCAAACAACACCGATACTATCCCCAACTTGGTAATTACCACCTGCATAATCCGTTAGGTGTGGGATTTTATCACAAAAGGTCTCGGTATTAGTTGCAGTAGGATTAGGGTATTTAAACTCTTCTTTTGTCATTGATACGGTTGATGTGGTGGGACATTTCAATACGCCCCCTCACGTGGGACCTAATTAGCATGTCACACGTGGGAGATCCACACATTGACAACCACGTGGAGCCAAGGGGACTCACCCTACACGCGGGGCCAAGGGACCCACCATCATAGCGCGGGGCCAAGGGGACCCACCCATCACGTGGCAGTACGGTACGGGCTTGCTCCCTGGCTCTGATACCATGTAGAATTATCAGAGAAACGGGCCATACGGCCCACTTCCAACAACACCGATATTGTCCCCAACTTGGTAATTACCACCTGCACAATTCGTCAGGTGTGAGGTTTTATCACAAAAGGTCTCGGTATTAGTTGGAATGGGATTAGGGTATTTAAACTCTTCTTTTGTCATTGATACGGTTGATGTGAGACATTTCATCAAGATTGTGGGCCCTACCAATGCGAGCAGGAAAATATTTGCAGCTACTGAAAATGAGAACGAAGGCCGCTGCTTCCTGCTCAGCACATCCGCTATCGAATTAGTTTTCGCTGTTTCTTGTACAAGAAGAAAGTCCGACAATGGCAAGAATGTTTACTATTCAAGCACATAAGCAAATGGTCCTATCAAAACCATGGCAAGAACATGCCTGTAAACCACAAAGACAACCGGATTGAGTCCGTCCTGAACAGATAATTTCGTGAGGACGTCTGATCCTCCATATATCAGTTGAACCAGTACCATTACGAAGTAGTGAGTGCATCCTTCCATGGATATGAAACTTTTCTTGTGCTAATTTGAAATGCAGATAATATGCTTCGAGTTTTAATGGGGTTTTTATAACTGTGAAGGATCAACTTCAGCCACTTCTTTTGAGTTCATTCGTTAGCTAGTGGAATCCACAATCAGTTTACCAAAGAACAGTGACTTCGTCTTTGGATGGTGGAAATATGAAGATCAATTTTGGAATCATACAAGGAAGGAACCAACTATATATTTATCCCCAAACCAGTGGCAGAAAGCAATCATACTTATGCATTCTAGTGTGGGTTCAATCTCCACCGATTTTCCTCCCCCCTAACAAAAATAAAGCAAAAGGTAAGGGTAGTGCTTTCCAAACACTATTTTACTTATTACACACCCCTCTCAATTTGTGGTCGCTATATCAAATGAATTGAAAAAGATGAAAAATTAACAAGAATGTGTCTGAGGTAAAATTGAGTATGTGGATATCACTATCCAAAAACTAAAGAGAGACGCACAAAATAAAATAAATAAATAAGTAAAAAGTTATTATATTTCTTAATTGCAGATATACCACTTTCTCCTTATGAGAAAATTGAACTACTTGTGACATGCTCCTGCAAAATCCCCCTTTTTTTTGTCAAGAAATTATTGAACCAATCTTTTCATTGGCACAATAAGATATATATTTCTTTGTCATGTATGTGTCATGTGAATGAAAGAAATATTAATTAGGTATATATCAATATCTAGTTAGGTATTTATCCCGGTCACATGTTAGAATCTCCGCCAATATGGAGAGGACAAGAAAGATCGGTTCGGTTTCTGTGAAATGACACTGTGAAAGAAAAGAAGATCAATTTCTCTTCTTGATATGTATCAACAAGTTCATATGGATTTTGAGTGACTGATTTTCTGCGTCATGCTAAAACTCAATGTTTCTTACATCAATGTTGTTTATGATCCGACTGTGAAATAACAAACTTGTCTTCATGATCATGGCCTTTCTCTACGGACAGGATTGATTACTGAAATTTCATTCATGAAAATCTCCAGCACTTCATTATCGCCGAGTGTCACCTTTTCTTGTACAAGAAGAAAGTCTGAAAAATGGCAAGAATACTTACCTTTCAAGCACATAAGCAAATGGTCCAACCAAATCCATGGCAAGAACATGCCTGTAAACCACAAAGACAATCGGATTGAGTCCTTCCTGAAGGAACAACTGTTGGAGAACAATTCAGAAATAAATAAAAATAATATAAATAACAGAACTTGAAATTCTAATACTTTATTAACTAAAAATACTTGATCTACGGAATGAAATACAGAAAGAAGTACAAGAATTAAAATGGTACTAACTTGATTACAACAGGTAGAGGCTAGTGCAAAAGTTATTTCATTCGAACACTATTACCGTCCCACTCTTGTGCTTGCGGTTCTACAACGTCTGTTCGACCAGGATATAACTACCTAATCCTACAACTCGCACTGGATTATAGAATCTAGCGAATTGCTTTGTGTGCTTACTCTCTGGAAAGTTTGTGTGGAAGAGAATGAGGAAGAAGAGATGATCTACAATGGAACTGAGACTCTGGTTATATAGGCTCTTTCATACCTCTTCAAATACCTTTTGGATGTATCTGAAGCTACACAACTCTTTCCAAAGAGTTGTGTCTATTAATCAAAACGTTTTTAATTAATTTTAATTAAAAACTTAATTCGAATTTAAAATTAATGATCTGATTAATTTTAATTCTTAGGCCCCAAGGCCCTTGTCTTGATTAATTAATATTAAGGTATAATCATCAAGCCTAATCCACACAATTAGTGGTCTAAACCTTAATCCTCATTCCAAATGGTCCAACATTGTCTTGATTAATTAACATTGGTATCAGCTAGTGTCGATTCCTCTCAATCCTTCATTGTTGTATGCCTCGCTGACCCTGGAATACCATGGAATCGCGAGTGTTGGCTTTGGAAACCATGCTCGCTGATCTCAAATCTGAGTTCAAGAACAGCCAGGAGATGATCATGGTGTAGCTGTAATCTATGGCAGCCAAATGCGGTTCTTACGGCGGCGAATCGTCGAAGGCAACACCGTTGAATCCTCAAGTGCAAGACGAAGTACATGGTGGTCACCACAATTTGGGTCGTCAGAATCGCTCGCCATTTCTGAAAATGGACTTTTGAAGGTTTATTAAAGGTGACGATCCTCTAGGTTGGGTCTATAAAGCCGACCATTACTTCGATTTCTTCCACATCGAAGATGCCAAGAAGGTGAAAATGGCTTCATTCCACATGGAAGGGGAAGCTCTTCAATGGATTCAGTGGGCCAATTGTCTTACCAATTATCCTAATTGGGAGGATTTCACCAAGGTCTTTTTTTCTAGAATTTGGACCTTCCGAATTTGAGGACTCAGCTGAAAGTTTGGTCAAGTTAAGGTAAACTGGAACACTACGAGACTACTCGTTGGAATTTCGTCATCTATCGAAATGTACCAAAGATATCAGCCCTGTTTTGTTGAAATCTTGTTTCATTGGGTGATTGAAAAACACAAAAAGTTCTCAGTGATACCTCAGATAGGGCACCACTTGGCAATCTTATGTTTCAAGTGGATAACGGGTTTCTTAAGGACAAAGGTCGAATTGTACTCAACCTTTTTAGTTCGTGGAAATAAAAAATCTTTGAAGAACATCATGCAACCTCAACTGCAGGCCATGATGGTTTTCTTAAAACCTATAAAAGAATCTCACGATCATTCTATTGGGAAGGAATGAAGAAAGACATCAGAGAGTTAATAGCATCTTCTAGTGTCTGCCAACAACACAAGTATGAAACCTTATCTCCGGCTGGTTTCCTTTAGCCATTACCTATTCCATCTAGAGTATGGTCTGATATCTCCATGGATTTCATTGTGGGGCTTCCTCATTGCGAAGGGAAAACAGTGATCTGGTGTCACATCTTGGCCCGGGCCCTCACCACATCTCGGGCTCGACTATATTGTCCGCTTTGTGCCCCAACCACGCCCTCACGATTTGTTTCTGGAAACTTACACAAGAACTTCCCAGTGGGTCACCCATCATGGGATTGCTCTCGCGTAAACTTGCTTAACTTTGGAGTTCCTACGGAACCCGAAGCCAGTGAGCTCCCAAAAGGCCTCGTGCTAGGTAGAGATGGAAATATACATATAAGGCTTACAGGATCCTTACCCCTGGACGATGTGGGATCTTACATCTGGGTTGTAGTAGATCGGTTATCCAAGTATGCATATTTCTTAGCTCTATCTCATCCTTTCACAGCATTCATGATTGCACAACTTTTCATTGATAACATTTTTAAGTTGCATGGTATGCCCATTTCTATCATCAGTGATAGAGATCCCATTTTTATGAGTAACTTCTGGAAAAAGTTGTTTGCAGTACAAGGGTCAGCTCTTTGCTTTAGCTAAGGGTATCACCCTCAAACAGATGGCCAAATAGAAGTGTTGAACATGTGTCTTGAAACATATCTCAGGTGTTTTTGTAGTTTGCAACCTAAAAAATGGCTACATTGGTTGTCTTGGGCAGAATGGAGTTACAACACTAGTTATCACATGGCCACCAAATT